CTCCAGACTGTGTCTCGGAAAGTGGACGCTGTCCCCGCTAAACCCCAGCTCCCCCCTCCCCCTGCCCTGGGGCCTACCATCTCCTCTCTGTCTCTGTGAACTTGACTCCTGCAGGTCCCCCATATGAGTGGGATCCTGTAGTACCTGCCTTTTTGTGACTGGATCATTCCACTTGCCAAGATGTCTTCAAGGTCTGTTCATGTTGTAGCCTCTGATAGGAGTCCCTTCCTTTTTTTTTTTTTTTTTACTTTCGAGAGCATGAGCAGGGGAGAGGGGCAGAGGGAGAGAGAATCTTAAGCAGGCTCCATGCTTAGCTGGATCCCATGAGCCTCGGATCATGACCTGAGCCAAAATCAAGAGTCAGACACTCAACTGAGCCACCCAGGAGCCCCAAAGATTCCCTTCTTTTTCATGGCTGAGTAATATTCCGTTGTGTGGATGGGATCATAGTTTCTTTTTCCGGCCATCTGTCAACGGACATTTGGCTCATTTCCACGTTTTAGCTATTGTGAATAGTGCTGCTGTGATCGTGGGTGTGCAAATGTCTATTCAGGTCTCTTCTTAGAATTGTTTTGGGGATATACCAGAAGGTCAATTGCTACATGGTAATTCTGCATTTAACTTTCTGAGGAACCACCACCCCGTTTTCCACAGCGGATGCGCTGCTTTGCACAAAGATTCTAATTTCTCCGTCAACTGGTTTCTTCTTAAACCCATTTTTCTCTCCAGCATCTAAGCCAAGTCACGCCACGTAAGCAGTCGTGTTTGCCTGTGCACAGTGTCCAGGCCGGCGTGTGTGCACACGGGACCATTGGAACTGGACTCAGTCTCCTGGCTGCCACTGAGGAAGAGGCTGTGTTTACTGACGATGGTTAAGACAGCTAAATCGGTCATTTCTAGGGTTCACCTTCCTTAGCAACTGGCTTTTCCTGTCTGTCTGGGAAATGTTTCTGGCTCTGCCGAGTTACATTTCCATTTTGGAGGACGATGGCTCTGACAACCACAGAATACAGGGAAGTCAGAGCTTATCCAGGAAGGTTTCCTTGGGTGGAGCGTGTGGTCTTGTTGTTTGATCTGTTCAATGCACGCAGCAGTAGTTGGAGAAGCAGAAGGGACAGTGTGATGGGCAAATGTGTTCCCGCTGTCCCTCCTGCTGGGAGGGCTCTGCCGGGCCCTTCACGTGGCCGCTGTCGGGATCTACAGCGCTGCCTCGCGTGGAGGCCGTGGGCCGGCCTCCTTCTGCCTGCACTCGCCTTGCCGTGTGTCCCTCCTTGTGTTCCTCCGTGCGACCCAGGGAGTGTGCTGTGGCCCAGTGCTGCCTGGGACCACGCTGCCCGGGACAGTCCCTGCCCTTTCATACTGAGACAAAGGCTGTTTGAAAACCAGCAACAAAAACAGCCCGTATTTTGGGCTTGTTACTTCGTCCGGCCTATTTGTGATGATGAACGCCACAGTCGAGAAGCAGCGGCCCCAAGGTGGCTTTTTTTTTTTTTTTTAATTTTTTTTTCAACGTTTATTTATTTTTGGGACAGAGAGAGACAGAGCATGAACGGGGGAGGGGCAGAGAGAGAGGGAGACACAGAATCGGAAACAGGCTCCAGGCTCTGAGCCATCAGCCCAGAGCCTGACGCGGGGCTCAAACTCACCGACCGCGAGATCGTGACCTGGCTGAAGTCGGACGCCTAACCGACTGCGCCACCCAGGCGCCCCCCACAAGGTGGCTTTGAGAGAACCCGATCACGCCCTGTGCCGCCATGTAACAACCCACGATAGAGACACACGGCAGGCCACACAGGCCGTGCCACTTCCAGGGCCCACGGTTAAGGCGCAAAGAGATAGAGGAAATTATTTAACCCAGTGCATCCAAGATACTGTTGTGTTGCACAGCATTAACAAGTAATCAGTATAAAAACTAATCATTTTTTACCTGACAAAAATTATTACTGAGATATTTTGTATTGTTTTGGTGCTAAATTTTGAAGCCACATCTCGGTTTGGACCAGCCATGTGCTCGGGAGCTGTGTGTGGCCCGTGGCCCCATGTTGAACAGCACGGGCCTGAGTGCTTGACTGCGGGGGTCCAGGACCTGGAAGGGTGGATCCTCACAGTTCCAGAGTGGGGACCTCACGGGGCTGGGTTGCTCTTGGCACGTTGGAGCACCAACCAGGATCACATTCGGGAGAGCAGCAGAACCCTCGCGGTATTCAGATAACATGGTGGGTGTTCGCTGGAAACTGAGAAGAGATAAAAACATAGTTCCAGAGTTCTGGCGACTTCTCTCGCGGTTCGGGAGGCCCGACACACACACGGACTTGGTAGGAGCAGCGTCAGGGAGAAGAAGAGGAAGTCCATACAGGACGTGCCTCTTGATGTTGTTTGAGGCCTGGGCAGGTGACTTCCCGGGCGGCCAGCTGCTCTGTTTCCCACCTGGAAAGTCAGAAAAAGCCCTGGTGACCGGTTTACCTGCTGGCTGGCATCCATTGCCCCTTAGAATAAAGTTGCTGGTGGGTAGGTGATGAGCACAGTTTCACTTTAGAAATCCAGATCGGGTCCCGGGTGTTCTGTGTCCATCCAGCTTCTCCGTGACATGTGGCCGACAGCGTAGCCGGAGGAGATCGCTTACGTCCCCCGTCACGTCAGACACTCGGTGCCGAGGCCCAGATCCCGCGGGGATGCGGCTCCAGGGTAGCGCACACCGAGGGGCGCCCTCCAGAGCTTGGCCTTGGGGCCGAGCCCTCCTCTCCTGTCACCTGCAGGTGTCTTAACTGGTTTCCAACTTTTAGCAGCCCTTTGTGATCTTAGGACAGGTTGTCTCAGGTAAGAGGTCAATATGAGTTTGTACGGATTGTACTAGAAATAATTTGTTCAACGTATGTGAAGAAAAACGGACTTTTTCCTGTGGCTAAGAATGGCGCTGGAAACTCTGTACTCGACAGCCTTTCTTACTCCTTTGAGAATGTCTGTGACTCCAGATTTATTCCATGCTGTTTCCAGGCAGGTTAGTGGTACAGCCCGCGGAATCTTGATGTCCACTGGTCAGCCTTGATTTCCTCTGGAGGTGTGGGTTCTGTGCCTTTCCCCGTAAGGATGGGGAAGGAAATGGGCCAGGGCCACAAACGGGGTCAACACACAGCAGGCGGCCTTTTGTGCGTCAAGACTGTCGCTTCCCTAGCTAGTTAGTATCTCTAGGTGTCGTCTCTAAGGTTTTTCTTTTTGGGATATTTATCCAAGTGTAGTGATTCTACTAGGTGGCGTAGGGGTTCCTATACAACCTTGTTTTACTGTTCAGTTTGAAAACCTGTAGTGAGCATCTCCATGTTGAGGGGCTGCGTGCGGCGTGGCCCAGGTGAGCCACACGGCACCACCTCAAGACCGCGGGCTCCGCCAGCCTCCGTGGCTCGCCTTTCCCTGCACGTCTGGCACGGACCTGGCGCGTTGTAGGTGCTCAGTCGACGGCTGGGTGGGTGGCATGGATGGTGGATACGTCTCGCGTGGGACCGTTTCCTAATCTAGGCAAGGAGGTCTCCACCCTGACGTGGAAGAGACTCCGGTGTGCAGCGTGCCCTTTGAGGGCCGCACGTGCGTGTGAGCCTGTGTGCTCGGGGCGCCGTGTACAGGAAAGCTTGAGCGAGCAAGCGAGTGAGCTCCACGCCCACGTTCACAGAGCTTCCCTCCTTCGTGCAGACTTCGTGAAGAGGCGTCGGCTCTAAAATCGGGCTGGGATGCCCAGGTCGCCCAGCTGTCCAAGGACCTGATCTCCAAGGACCTTCGGATTCAGGCGCTGCAGGAAGAGGCAGTGGAGCTCAAGGCACAGCTGGCCAGGTGCCAGCAGGACGTCGGAAGGTGACTGCCCCCGGGGACGTTCCCGAGATGCTCTTCTCACTGCGCGCCCCGTGGGGGCCGGGTGCCATTCTCGGTGCTGAGGGTACAGGAGGGAACGGAGTCGAGGCCCTGGCCTCACATCCGATTGTGGGGAAAAGGCGAGAAACAGGACAGAGAAGGGGAGTGTCTGGTTGTGAGAAGGGAGAGCCAGCAGGATGGGCTGATGGGGGGCGGCCAGCGGAGGCCTTTCCCCGGAGGTGGTGTCGCATCTGGAGCCGGTGCCGCGGCAGCTCTCCTGCCCCGTCCTGTGTGGGGAAGCACCTCTTCGTGTGTCCTGTCCCACCCCCGTCTCCTCTCATCCAGTGGATGAACGCTGGAGTGAGGGTCACGTTCTCTTTCTTGAGGAATAACTTAGATATGAGGAAACTCGTTTCAGCCGTGCGGTTGGAGTCCTGACCAGCGTGAACACCTGTCAAGCAGGCCTGTAGTCAGGACCCGAAACCTTCCCGCCGTCCGGCATGTCCTCACGCCTCGCGGCCGCCGCCCACCTGCGCCGGCCCCGCCGCTGCGCGGCCCTTCTGCCCCGCCCGCGATTCCGTCTCAACGGAGTCATGCAGCATCTGGCTTCCCGTGGTATTTATTTGGACATTTATTGCAGGTTTTCTGTTCTGTCTCAGTTTGGGGAATTGGTGTCTTTCAGTGAGTTTGCCCATCTCGTCGAATGGTTGACTTCAGTGGCATAAAATTGTGTATCGTGTTTGTGTGTTTCGTCTCTGACGTGTGCAGAATCTGCGGTAACGTCCACTCTTGTTTTGGATCCGTCTGGCTGGAGGCGTATCAGTTGTATCGGTCTTTTCTTTAAGTCTGTTTCTTTTGAGAGAGAGCACGAAAGGGGGAGGAGGGGCAGAGAGAGGGGGGAGACGGGGAATCCCGAGCAGGCTCCACACTGACAGCACAGAGCCCGACATGGGGCTTGAACTCACGAACCGTGAGATCGTGACGTGAGCCGAGGTCAAGAGTCGGACGCTCAACCACCCAGGCGCCCCAGTCACGAAGTCTTCTATTAACGCATTTGCATTGAGGATTGTTATGGCTTCTTTTATTTATTTTATTTTATCTTATTTTACTGGTGTAAGTGATCTCTGCACCCAGCGTGGGGCTCAAACTCCTGACCCCGATATCAGGAGCTGCACGCTTTTCTGACTGAGCCAGCCAGGCGTCCTGGGTTGCTGTGGCTTCTTGGTGACTGCCCCTCGATTAGCAGGATGCAGCTGTCTTTATTCTGGATAGTCCTCCTCCTTGCTTGTCTGCTGTGTCTGATGTCAGCACGGCCACTTGGGTGCTTCCTGCCTGGTGTTTGCGTGCACACCCTTCCACGCACTGACTCTGACTTGTGCTGAGGTCAAGTGCATTTCTTACCGATCGCGCGTGCTGTGTCTTGCTTTTCCTGTCTCCCCTGACAGCTCTGCCCGTTCACTGGACCGTTTAGATCATTTAATTTAATGCCAGGATTGATGTGTTTGGGTTTAAATCGCCAACCTGCAGTTGGTTTTGTATTTTCCTCGTATTTTTTGTTCCTTAATTTCTCTGCCTTTTAAAAACTCAGTCCAGGCGGTGCCTGGCTGGCTCAGTTGTTTAAACGTCCAGCTCTCGGTTTCAGCTCAGGTCATGATCTCACAGTTTGTGAGTTTAAGCCCCGCATCAGGCTCTGAGCTGATAGTGGGGAGCTGGCTTGGGAGTCTGTCTCTCCCTCTCTCTCTGCCCCTCCCCTGTTCGTTCCCTCCTCTCTCTCTCTCTCAAAAATAAACAAATAAATTTAAAAATAAATAAATGGATAAACAGTTGAGTGTTTTTTAGGATTCCATTTTATTTCCACCGTTGTCTTATATAAACTTTTTTATTTATTTCATGGTTGTTTTAAGATTCCCAGAATGCATGGTTTGCCGTTAATAACGTCTAGCTCTTTGTACGTAATATAAAATCCTTACAACCTCCTGTTTCTCTTCACTCTCCTTTGCTGTTGTCGAACATTTTACTTTTGTGTACATATATAGTTACGTTGTTTTTGTTGCTTTGATCCGATAATGTCTTTTAATTAAAGACAAAAATTGAAAGAAAAGCTTTATGCTTTTTCCAATATTTATTTCTGATGGCTTTTCATTTTTTAAAAATCAAATTTAGGGGCACCTGGGTGGCTCAGTAGTTTAAGTGTCTGACTCTTGGTTTCGTCTCAGGTCACGATCTTGTGGTTTGTGAGTTTGAGCCCCACTTTGGGCTCTCTGCTGACAGCACAGAGCCTGCTTGGGATTCTCTCTCTCTCTCTCTCTCTCTCTCTCTCTCTCTCTCTGTCTCTCTCTCTCTCTCTGTCTCTGTCTCTCTCTCTGCCCCTCCCCTGCTCACGTGCTCTCTCTCAAAAATAAAAAATTTTTAAAAATTAAAAAAAAAAACAGTGAAATTAGAGAAAAGTCAAGTTCAAAGTTTCCATAAGGTGTAATCTTTCTTCAGCCCCCAGACGTCCTTTGACGCCCCTCCCAGCGCAGCCTTGCACTCAGCCCGTTTGTCCGAATTTCTTTGCCTTCTCTTTCTGAAGCGTGTTATTACTCGATGGAAAATTCCAGGCTGGTGGTGTTTTCTTCCCGTTGAAGACGACTTGTTCTCTCCTGGCACTCGTTGTTTCTCAGGAGGGTTCCGCAGGCACCCTTTGTTCCTCCACACGTGTTGTGCCTTTTCCTCCTGATTCGTGTTTTTCCCTTCATCGTTGGTTTGTGGTGATTTGATTGTTCGTGTATGTAGGTGAGGTTCTGCGTGCGTCGCCTGCCGCGGTTTCCACCGGCCTTTCTCTGCTTGCCCCCTTTCTCCTGGGAGTCCCAGGTGCCCATGCGTTAGCATCCCCTCGGTCAGCGGCCTTTCTCGCTGCCGTGTGTGATCGGCCCACTGAGGCTGAGGAGTTTTCATTTTCACCTTTCTCCGTCTTACGTGTGTGGTTGCTTTCTGTCCCCGATCATATTCACGACGCGGTCCCATCCCTCTTGTTTCCGGGCCGTTCTCACTTCCTTGCGCCTCTCGCCAGGCCCGCTGGTCGGATGTGGTGCCCTTGTGCGGAGAGCGTCGGGGCTTGTCTGCTTCCTCCCGCCCGCGCTGCCTTCTGTTCCGGCCGCAGCCGGTGGCGGCACAGAGCCTGCACACGGCGCCCTCAGGTCCCGACCGTCGGGGCCCGCGGCTGCTTCTGCAAGGCCGGCAGGAGCCCCCCTGCAGCGGGCAGGACGGGGTCTTCCAGGGCCTCACTAAACAGGGGCCGCCTGTCCCCCGCGCTCACGACCCGGTCACACTCGGGAGACGTGTGCAGAGGCCCCCACCGCGCGGCGGGCGAGAAGTCCAGGGCCGGGCTGGCGCTCGCTCTCTCACCCTCAAGTTTGCTCCCCCCCCCCCCC